TCCTCTGACTCCCCTGACAATTATCATCGTTATTATATGCCCATCCATCATCACGACCTGCTTCGTTTCCCCAATCATTCGTTTTTCTCAATTATTTCTTTATTCGGTGTTTGTGGATTAATTTTTATCTTTATTTTTATTTTGTCTATGTCCGTTTGTTTATCGGTTTCTTTTGTTTATTTCGTTAGGTTCCCCCCCCCCTTCTCTCATTGCCATTTTCTTCCCTCCTCTTTCTCCATCTCTTACAGGGGGGGAGGGAGGGAGGTAGCGAGCTCTGTGTTAGAGGGAGGGAGGTGGGGGTTGGAGGGAGGGAGGGAAGGAGAGAGGGAGGGAGGGAGGGAGAGAAGGAGAGGGAGGGAGGGAGGGATCGAGGGAGGGGGAGGGAGAGAAGGATCGAGGGAGGGAGAGAGGGAGAGGGAGAGATCTAGGAAGAGGGAGGGAGGGAGGGAGAGTGGGAGGGAGGGAGGGAGGGGCAAATCGACGGCAGGGAATGGAAGCTCTCTAAGTTTTTACCGTGTCTGGTCAATGTATCGAATGGCACGAGTAATAGATGGAATGTGCGTATTCGTGAGAGAGTTAGGAGGAGAGAAAGAGAGAGATAGAGAGGGAGATGGTGAGAAAGAGATGGAGGGAGAGAAGCAGGGAGATAGAAAGAGAGGGAGAGAAAGAGAGAGATATAGAGAGGGAGATGGTGAGAGAGAGATGGAGGGAGAGAAGCAGGGAGATAGAAAGAGAGGGAGAGAAAGAGAGAGATATAGAGAGGGAGATGATGAGAGAGAGAGAAGGAGGGAGATGGTGAGAGAGAGATGGAGGGAGGAGAGGGAGAGAAGGAGGGACATAGGGAGGGAGAGAAGGAGGGAGGTAGAGAGAGAGAGAGGAGGGGGATGGAGAGAGAGAGAAGCAGGAAAGCAGGGAGATAGAGAGGAAAAGAAGGAGGGAAAGTGAGAGAAGGAGGGAGGTGGAGAGGGAGAGAGAAGCAGGGAGATACAGAAGGAGAGCGAAGGAGAGTGAGAGAAGGAGGGAGCGGAGTAGAGGAAGATAGAGAGGGCGTAATTGCAGTAATGGCTGAATGGGCGTGGCTACGAGGAAGTGGCGGCGTGTGGGCGTGGTCAGTATGGGTTGGATTTGGTCATTGTCTAACACGCGGGAGGGAGGGGAGGAGGAAGAAGAGGATTAGGAGGAGGAGGAGAAGGAAGAAGAGGAGGGGGAAGACGTGGAGGAGAAGAAGGAAGTTGAGGAAGAGAAGGAGGAGAGCAGGAGGAAGAAGAGAAGAAAGAAGAAGAAAAAGAAGAAGAGGATGAAGAAGAAGAAGAAGAAGAAGGGGAAGAGGAGGGGGAGGAGGAAGAGGAGAGCGGGTGGGGGGAGGAGATGACGAATGTAAAACAGGAATTGAGAGAGATGGAGGAAGAGAGAAGTAGGGAGGGGAAGAAGGGAGGAATGAAGAGGACATGGAAAAGAAGGAGAGAGAATGGGGAAGGGGGAAGGGGAGAAAGAGAGAGAGAGAATGGGAGAGAGCGTGGGAAAAGGAGGGAAAGAGATATAAGGAAAGACAAAAACAAAAAGACAAACAAAGAGACAGATAGATAGAAAAAATCGAAAACATAAAAGAAAAGAAAATCAAAACAAAATACGCAGACAGCGTTACAAAGAGAAGAAGAAGAAATAGAAGAAGGAGAAGAAGAAGTAGAAGAAAAAGAGGGGGAAAACAAAGGAAGAAGTAGAAGAAAAAGAAGAAGAACAACAAAAAGAACAAAAACAAGAACAAAAACAAGAACAACAAGAAGAGGAGGAGGAGGAGCAGGAGGAGGAGGAGGAGGAGGAAGTGTTGGCTCCATGATAATAAAACCTCACCCACGCCCATAGCACTTTTCCCCCGGGCGGCCTCCGAGTACTTTCCATCTCACACGCCCATTTATCACTCCCTTCATTCAGCCTCTTTCCACGTTGCGCATAAACCTCGCGTATAAAAAAAGTAAATAAAATAAATAAATATATAATAATGATAATAATAATAATAATAATAATAATAATAATAATAATAATAACAATAATAATAATAACAATAATAATGATAATAAAAATAATAAAAAGGACTGTATAATAAAAAGAAAAAATAAACTGCAATGGAAAAAAAATGTATAGAAAAGTCTCCGTAAAACTGCAACTGTTTATTATGGTTCTGAGCGAGGTGCCCCGTCAGACAATGCTCTCCCTCCCCCTCCCCCCTCCCCCCACCTGCGCCTATGCTGATTGACTGCCAAGGTTTTCGCAGAGAGAGAGAGAGAGAGAGAGAGAGCGAGAGAGAGAGAGAGAGAAGATGAGAAGAGAGAGAGAGGAGAGAGAGAGAGAGGGAGAGAGAGAGAGAGAGAGACACACACACACACACCACACACACACACACACACACACACACACACACACACACACACACACACACACACACACACACACACACACATACACACACACACTACACACACACATACACACACATACACAC